CAATTACAATTAAGCGTTGTTGTTTTGAATTTTAATATAAAGAAAGTTTGAAAAAAAAGAAAATGTGAGAAAAAGAGAGTAAAAAGAGGGGAGAGAAAGAAACTTACAAAAATATCATAAATATTAATAATATTCTTATGTATTAATTTAGAGAGAGAGAGAGAGCAATTCCAACTTACATAAGATGGTACATCCGTGTCACCATACAAATTGTAGGATATATGTGCAAAAAGATTAAAAAATAAAATTTCCCACTACTCCTATGAAAACACATGATGTACCACTTCTATTCCCGTCACAACTAAAAATTTCTTCTCAGTATCCATCTAAATCACTGTCATATCCACCGTTAATATTTTTCACTAATAAAAAAATCTGCATTTTAATTTTTGGTGGGCGAAGAACTTAAAAATCAGACCATCGACAAATCGAGCATTCATCTACTCCGATACCCAATAACCTCCAAAGTCTTCATATTTACCATCTTCGCCCTCGCCAACACAGCGATGGAGTTCACACCGCAGCAGCTGATCCAGTAACGGCACGACCCATCGAACCCGATATACAATGGCGCTCAAAGGCCGCGTCTTCGACGTCACGGACGGAAAGTCGTTTACGGTCCCGGCGGACCGTACGCAATGTTCCCGGCAAGGACGCCAGCAGGGCTCTGGCGAAGATGACCAAGAACGACGAGGACATGACTGCCTCCCTCGACGGCCTCACGGCAAGTCGTCTTAAGGCTCATTTACAAGCTTCTCGCCGCAAGGTCAGGTGGTAATGACTCCCATGTCAAACCTCCACATACTCCTTGTAGGCTGCAGAGCTGACCTCCATGGCGTACTTTCCCGGACTAAAAGAAGCCTCAGTTATTCCCCCTCCACATATCCTTGTACACTTCACCGAACCACATCGTTACGCAAACAGCTTTTGAAGGATTTCATGGGTAAATAAAGGAAGAGATGAAGGTGCAAACCAGGACAGATGAACATATCAAGTGGACGAAAAAGCTATTGTCTGACCAAGAACAAAGGTAATCAGAGATAGTTCGATGAAAAAGATCGTGGTGAGGAGGTCTCTATCGACCATCCATCCGAAAATCGTTATCCCCCCGTGATTGGTTTGCAAGTATAACACTGCATTGCAGAAAGGAATAGAGCATGAGCCACAATCAAAAACCAGTAAGGCTGAACTACGGGAAATGAATAAAACGAAAGCCATATATGACATGCAGCAAGTAATACAAGATGATCGAAGCATTTTCTTTTCAAACACAAAAATGGGAAACAAAATGCTCGTAATTTAAGGTTTGAAATGAACGGGAACAACTGAAACAGCAAAAGCTGATGCATACCAAAAGCTTGTCTCTTGTGATATGAAGCCATATGTGAAGCCAGCTGGGAATTTGTAGGCACGTGAACATAATCTGCTGACTCCAAATCACTCTCGGAGTAACTTAGATGCAGTGAACTCAATCTGTTGGCGGCCTCAAAGTTCACCAGACTGTCTGAACTTCTGTTGTGAGATGAATTGTTAGAACTGCATGTCATTAACGCATGCCATCTACTGGCAACTGTCGTTATACCTTGGGCTCTACCAGAAATTTTAGTAGCTGCATGCAGGGAAATAGTAATGCCAACAACCTGAACAATTGTGGAGACCTGAATATTTGAAGGAAAACGAGGAAGGAAATTTAATGCACTGAATTTTAGTCTGCAGTCAATGATGATTAGAGAGTTTTCAGAATGGTCCAGTCTTAAAAGGGGGAATCCAATATGGTTTTAAATCTAAGCCTGTAAGAGTGAGAAGTTAATCAACCAAGAAGTAGATACATGGAAAGTATTGAACTTACTGCAAAATCGCCACTGTTTATGACAGTGATTTTTCCACTGTATATTGTGAGCTCGAGTAGAGTCACAAACTGGCTTGTGGTGACGATTATAAACTGCACAAGAAGGAACATCCGGAACCTATGGCTTATTTTATGGAGATGATACCGCAGGCGAATATGCTCCTCCATAAATAGCAACACATTAGAATCCCTTTCGAAGAGCCTTCCATAATCATCGAAGTGGATAACTTGCAAGTTGCAGACCAAGTGAAACAAAATGCTGGCTGTTAGAGTGATTGTACTCACATAAGCCCATGATAGAACCAAAGCTACTAATACAGCAAATGACATCCACCATGACTTGTGATGGACAGATATCATGCGGATGACCTCTCGCAGAGTTTTCAAAAGAAAACATGGCAGCGCCCACCAAATGAGCAGGCGTAAAGAACCCTGCAAAGATACGATACCCAAGGAAAATTCTTAGCACATTAACCACTGGAAGCTTCTGGCAAAAAATGTCTATAAAAGTTAAAATAAAGAAATGACAGTTAATACTGGCAACAAGTACTCTATATTTGGTAAGTTATTCCAATATTTGCAGGCTGCAGTTAGTGTGTGCTAGGCCTAATCAGCATTGGTAAACAAATACAAAACTGACAGAACGCGAAGATTTCGATTATGTTTTCACCTACAGGTCTCGAATTAGAAACTAAAATATGCTGAATTCTGGTAAGCACATTATGTGCATACCATCTAACCCGTAGGGTTAGTAGACGCATGACAGATTTGTACAGATAATATTTACTCATCACACATGTAGGTCTAACGAATTTGAAATCAGACCAAAGAGGACACCTTAACTTCACTTTCAAACATAAATTTGGATTATCTCATTTCTGACAACTATGCTCATATCATAAAACTTGAAGTTTATATAGGGAAGTTCTAGTATGCTTGTATGCACCGACATCGATGGCTATTAGATCTTTGGCCGCACACCCCAAAATTCATTCATTCCATGCATGTCATACACTGGAGCACAGAAGAATTCTCGGTTGATAAACAAAGCACACACAACATGTTCACAACACAATTATCAAGTAAACCATTTCATATCATACCTTAATCTGCTTGATGTAATCGTTTCGAAACCGAACCATACGGCCACTATAGCGATCAACAAAGAGGAACCTCCGAATGCCATACTTGCGAAGACAGTGAGAGATGCAGAGCAAAGAGACCGCCGCCAGAACCGCCTGCGATGCCACGATACTGAGCTCGAACCCTTTAACCTGATACTTGTCGCAGTCCGAACAGTTGAATATCTCTAGCACCACCACCGGGAGAACAACACCAAGAAGAACCAGAGCCGTCCAGGACAGCGCAAGGCTCGACCAAGAAGATTGACCGAAGCCCAATAGAGTGAGAAACGTTTCTAGCCGTTGGAGGGTCTGGTCCAATTGAGTATCCTTGCATTCTCCTTCTGGTGCTTGGTGACGGTTGTTGTGATTTGAATCGAGAAGAAGGGCGAGTTCGGAAGGCGGATCCTCTCGTTTTAGAGGGTCCGCCATGGAGGAGTAGGAGTTTACTGAGGAGCTTAATTAGGGAGCTTAAAGCTGGGATTTTGATGGGTTTGGAGTGAAAATGGTGATTACCCACTTGAGATTTTGGTGGCAAAAGTAGGAAAGTTGGTAGATTTTTTTGGGTTAGGAGCTTAATCATTGAGAATCCGATCAAACCCTACATTCAATCTTAAGTCACTTTTTGTTCCTATTTGGTCAAATTTTTGTTAGTTCAGGGCGTGCTCATCGACCAGAAAGCCGGGAATAACCTCTTTTAAAGAGAATTACTAGGCATACTCGCTCAGAAGCGAGTCGAATGCAGACTCTCCCTAATAAACTTCCACGTGGTTTAACTTTCGAGAAATGCGACAGGCTGTATTAATTTGCTTATAATTCCTGTTATACCCCTCCATTAAACTCAAGAGACATTAATTATTAGGAAAACTAATGAAAAATATTTGAAAATTTTGAATTTTAATCAAAAGATCAAAAACGTGTTGTAAGTGAATAGTAACATGAGTGATTTTTTAGAGTAAAAATATTATTTTGGTTATAAATGAACTGTATCGGAAGTATTTTTTTAAAACTCTTGTAATTCTATTTCTACCTTTCCGTTTCTCTCTCTACTAATTGTGGGATCCAATCAATATATTTTAGGCGGGAGAGTAATCCGGGAGTAAACAGTGATTTGACTTCTTGAATTATTACTCGAATTGAAATTGACTTTTTGAATTATTTTTTAAATTATTTTTTAGGGGTTGTGTATGGATGACAGAGACAACGAGTGCGGTGGGCCAGGAAGAACTAGCTATCGGAAAGTTGATGTCAAATGTTGAGGTGAAGATTGTTGAGGTCAACTCTGAGAGTGGCATTCGTTTAAAGTCAATGTAACATCGCGCACATTGATTAAGTCAGTTGATAGAGAAAAGTTATATTCAACTTCAACTTGACTTTGAAGCTTTTCTGCTTTCGTTGATCTGATCAAGGAATTGCTCAAATACAAAAGCCATCCTTACTAAACGAAGATTCGCACATACAACCGCTATATACGGAGTTTTGCACATACAACCGGTGTATATATTCCCATTACCCTCTAATACTTATCACGTGTCGATTGTTATAGAGTGAGGAAGTATATGATAAACCAAGTCAGCCACATTAGCAGTCCAGTCAGCAACCTTGAATCCAATTTGATTGTGAGGAAGTTTGAGACATTAGGAAGGGTTTGTTGAGGGGGAATGGGTGAAGGTGAGGACGATTCAGAGGCCAATGGAAAGGAGAAAAAAAAGTAGGATTTCAAAGGTGTCTTGAGACTGGGATCTCTGAACACAGCAATCGCACTTTCACGTTGATTTCTTTTAGTATATCTCCGGTTACACTCAAGTTTCTTCCTTACTTAAACACGATTTTGGTTTCGCTTACATCAATTGTAGGTTGTGCTGTATAAAAAAAAGCAAAGCGTAACATTCATCTATGGATTACCAAAGAACGCTCAAGGTTATGTGTTTGAGGAAGGAATTGATCAAACTTCCAGTATCCAAGTTATAATTTCCAGTTTCTTTCTTCTAAAGTTAGGTTAGATTTGCCACCGAAAGTAAATACGATACTTGAGCACCAAGCAAGGATTGTTCATCATTCTAAAGTATTTGCGATTTAAACATAAACAGTACAACAATGATCACATATCTGTCACTAGTTTTATAAACAAGCTAAAATTGCACGTTGTTTATTGATTAAGAAGCTAATCGCTTGAGCGTACAAGCTTCCGACAGAGTGAAACAGAAGGAACATACCAAAACATTGATCCGAGCACAGCTATCATATAGAAATGCTGTTGGGGATTCCGCGGCCAGTTACTCCAGGGCCTGAGGTGGGAAGCAGCAATTCGTATGGCGGAATGCCAGCTCCACTCCTGTTTTTAAGACGGCTATCTTTGTTTCGTAGGTTAATGGTCTGGTCTATCTCCTTGAGCCTATCGGAGAATCTATTGAACAACTTCATAACTTCATTATCGTTGATCCAATGGGATTCCAGCGGGTTCACCTGACCCAAGTACTCTTCATCGGGGGAGTGAGTTGAGAGCGTATCTTGTACGGCCATTATCTTGGTGGCTTGAAGTCTAGTTGCCAAGGAAGACAGAAAAGTTTGCTGCGGGTTAGAAATAAACTTCTCGTAATCAGGGCTGTCTTCTTGCGGAATGAGTTTTCTCATAATGGTCGGACGGTTTGGTACATAACCACCAAAAGGGTACTGGCCAAAGTTGATGGCTGCGTGTTGACCTGAAGCGACCCAAATAATCGTTGTAAGTATACCGGATAAGTCCTCTTTGGTATCGAGTTTAGGCCACCAAGGCTCATTTCGCTTGTCGTGGTGACCCTTATTCTTGATCTCACTCCACCACTGTTGGAGCTCAATGTCAGACGTTACAGAATTTGGCTCGGAGTAGTAGTGTCCGACATATGATTCTACCCATTCTTTTATAGCAGACCATACGAGGAGACCATCCGCAGCGTATGGATAGTCCTCAATTACGAGCTTCACGCCACAAGGAGCCGAAGGATCTTCCACAGCCATGCCTCTGGAAAATGTTAATACAAGTGTCAAATAATCGCTAAGTTAATCCTGGAAATAATGACACGGCAATACTGCCTCTATTCACTTGTTCAAACCTTACCTTTGAAGAAGATCAGCTGGTAATGCTTCCATGTCAAACCTCCACATCTCCTTGTAGGCTGCAGAGCTAATCTCCATGGCGTACTTTCCCGGATTATAAGAAGCCTCAATGATTCCCCCTCCGTTTATCAAACTTTGCCGTGCCAGTGCGTTGATTTCTAGAGTGTAGCGCATGTGAGGGTGGAGTAGCTTGAAAATGGGGTGCATTGAGCTAAGCTGTCTATGAGTCGCAATTATATATGGCTCGACACAAGCATGAGTCCTCAACCTAGGTAACACAATTACCAAACACATTAGAAGTGTTGACATCCAATTCTAAAATTGTTGTTAATTGGTAAAACTCCGACAATTTAAACCACACAGATCCAAAATAATGTTTACCAGTGATTGACTAGTTGATGAATGCCAGCGTCATTTGAGCAAACATGAGCTTTGGCTAGCTTCCAAATCCAATGTGTAGTAGCATGATGCCCGTGAGTATAAACACGTTTATATTTCGGGGATGAAGCCAAAGGTGGAAGTGAAAGCTCAATGGCTATAGGCCTCATAATACCAGTAGGGGTATAGAAGAACACCGTCCTAGAGGCATAAGCTTTTCTCCCAGGCAAGGCGTTCATCCTCTCAATAAATGGCATATATGTGTCATGGTGATCAAGTATAAACAGTCTCTTCTCCTCAATCGCCTGGCATGATAAAAAGTTACTGTTAAAGACGCCTTCGCGTAAAAGCATGTTTGCGTTTCTCTACGTTACAAAATTCTACACTTCCGGTTGGTTCATACTAGAGATGACATATCGGAAAACAGGAATTCAGACATTATTACCTTATCCACACTCATCCCATTGATTTCTTGCTCTAACAATTCCTTTGTGATAGCAGATGCGGGAGGACCGTAAACAGCAGGATCTAGCTTGCTGAGAATCGGAAATTCCTGTGAAATAGAACCCAACTTCAGGACTCTCAAAAGGGCATTTGATTTAAAAGTAGAGATTAGTTTACAAAGAATTTGTTTGTAAGTTACCTTCAAAATCTCAATGTTGACTGGATTGACCCCAGCTAAAGTTTGGCGTGCAAATTCATTATCGCGCAACCACGAGAATCTATCCACTAGCCACACAAATTAAACAACAGGAGAAAGAAGTGAGATTCACTGATGCATTTGGAGCCTCAAATCTTACAAAACAAGGGAAAGATTAAGGATAGAAGGAGAAAATGTGCACTTACTTTTAATAACAGCAGGGATTTCGTATTTCAACCACCTTTCACCAGCGGAAAAAACCTCTTTCACCATGCTGCCCAGAAACAGTTTCTTGCCTTCTTTCTTCTCCTCCTCTTTCCATTTCATGAGGACACCGTCAACATATAGGTCATCTATATCAGAGAAGCACTCGAAAGGATTGTCTGTACTTGACAATGTAACAGCAAGAGATGGTATGAGATTGTGAAGTAAAGCTTTCAATCTTCCAGTGGAGAAAGCATTCTGCTTAATTTCCTCGAAAGTCTCATCCCGAGGCACATAAACTGGATGAGGCTTTTCGATTCTACTTTCGGTATGAGAATCTGTTCGAATGCCATCAAATCAGCACAATAAGATGTCAATGCTACAAAATGAATGCAATATGGAAAATTGGACTTACACTAACAAATATAAAGAAAGAACATCATACACACCTGTCTTGGTTGGAGGACGGCCAGTCCTACAGCGCCTAGGATAAGGCCTCTCCTCGCCACCAAGGACCGGCCTGGCCAGATCTTCACTCTTATCAGGATTTCCCAATTCGTTGTAAACATCGTAATCATAGATTCTATCATGTTCCTTTCGCGTGCCTTTCCCATTACCCCGAATGCTGAGTAAGTCTTCGTGTCGAAGATCCTTAAGGCCCGGCGGTGTTTGTGCAGGAAGACATGCCTATTTACAACAACAAGATAATGTAAAGCATACTTCTTGCAAGATTATTCATACAATATTTACTTCAGTAAAAATCTGAGATACAAAAGCAACGATTCGTACTTGATTTTTGAAGATAATTCTACTTTCCGGATTATCTTTGCGTGAATGGATCCAAGTGTTTGCAGGGAAGAAAATGGGGCCTCCGTCGAAACCATGAATGACAATCTCCAACAAGTAGAACTCTTTGCCCTGCAGATTGGAAACCATAATTGCCCCAGGACAGCCAAAGTCGGATGGGACTTTGAAGTCAGCAGCATATTCGACAATGTTTGCATACTCCGAGGGCACCGGCTTTGGCAGCCACCCTCTCACGGCGGATTGGACACTCTTTCCTGCATTTGTAACTGGAAAAACAATAATAAAGGTTAATCAAACTGCTCCAAATTAGGAAACACAATGCCAAAACAGAACAAGTACGAAACGGAATTTACAGAGCAAATAACACACACTTTTTGGCGCTAAAAATGTAAAAATAAACAGAAAATGGACAAATTAAATCATACAAAGAACACATAAGATGATTACTCCCTACCCATTAAAGACCATATAAAATGATTTAAAGGGAAGTAAAAAAGTTTGAATCTTTAATTAGTTGTAATTAAGAGAATAGTAAATAATTAAAGCGAATTAAATTTAAGCAACACCAAATCTTTAAAAAGTTATGATTAAGAAAATACTTAAAAGTAATTACCAGGATCAACTTGCTCACTGATGAGCTGAATCAGAATCCCCTGTCCAATCCCATTGACAAAGAACTCCCACTGATCCTCAATCTTCTCTATGATCTTCTCCTTCATCTTCTTCCTGATCGTCACCACCGCTTTCACCTGGATCTCTCCAGCTCCAGAAGACGAAGAAGACAACCCATTAACGCCTTTGCTCTGCAATGGCGTCGCAGCCTCCACGGACGCCTTGTCTCCGCCGCTGATCACGGCTCTCACTGATCCGTGCCTCTTGACCCGTGTCCCGGATCTGGGCACCCGTGCCTTCCCGACCCTGACGTAGTTCCCGGACCCATTCACCCGGCGGTCAACGGCAGCGGTTGACTTAAGAGCGGCAGTGGCGGGTTGTTTCACCACATACATATCGCCGTCTGAGATTAAAGTGTAATGCTTTACAGTAAGAAGGACACCGAGATGCTGCTGACTGATGAACTGATGATATATATAAGGAAAGAGAGTGAAACGACGGCGTATTTGTATTAATGGCGGATTAAAGAAGACAATGCCTATCGGAGGGAGAGTGTGATAGAGCGATCAGAAAACTAAAGCCAGTCGAATTTAAGTAGAGCGATATCGTTAACGTGAACGTCAGAGAAATTTGTGTGATCAATTTATTTGATTATTTTTTGACACTCCGGTAAAGTTTGAAAGTGAAAGCCTTTGGAAGTGAAATTGACTATCGTCCAAATAAGTCAGCGTGGAAGACGTGCTGACAAAATTATCTAAAATAATGTTGGCAAGCATGAGGAGGAAGAATCAAGTGTGAAAAACTCCACACAGTACGTACTTTGATTGTTACTTGTCAACCACTCCGCTCGATTTGAACTATTTTGTTTATTACAAATTTCATAGCACCTACTAGTTTCTTTTAAGAAAAAATGGATCAGTTGATGGTTTCGTCACGATAATTTATTTTTTTAGGGATTGAAAGACTCACATAAACATTTCAACTTCTCTTGACCATTATATGATTCATCAGCACTATGAATCAAACTCATAACATCCCGTGTGGAATAAAATCCGACCTAACCACTGATGTATCCCGTGATGGTTTACCTTATGTGTAATATTATGATTTTGTTATGTAAATTTTTCTTTATATAGCGTTGTATTGTTAAAATAGGTTAGGTAGGAATGCACCTATTTATAAAAGGGAGTAATTAGGTTTTCATCCTTATTTTTACTACTCTATTGATTAAAACCTTATTACTTTTCAATTTTTGATCAAGGTCCTTTGTATTAATAATATCATTAATTATTTCAATAATAAAATATTGTTTATTTCTAAATATATTCATTTAATATTAAAAATGTTACAATTAGTATATTATATTTATGGCTAAATTTTTTATCATATATTTTTATTTTTAGTTTGTACCCATTTTTAATTTGCAACCCTTTTTTAATTTGTACCAATTTTCCTTTCAATTTTAATTTGTACCCATATATTAATTTCTTTTTGTGCCCATATTTTTTACAGTTTTATTTGTATTGTACCCATATTTTTTTATTTATTTGTACCCATTTTTATTTTTGCTAAATGTACCCATTTTGAAGAATGTACCCATGTTTTGATACAATCATTTTTTGGTTATTTTTTATGAACGTACCCATGTTTACACACACACAATAGTATATTTATATTTTAATATTTTTAATCCCACAAATTATGTTTTTTATTTAAAATCTCATTACTATAAACAACTATAAATTTTAATTTTTAATTTAAAAAATATAGTAACGTACATAGAAATAAATTATCAATTAATTTTAGGGACTTGGATCAAAAATTGAAAACCAACAAAGTTTCAGTCAAAGATTGTTCATAACTAGGGACCGCATCCAAAGTCTCCCTTATAAAAGTTGTTCCTGACATGATTAGCTAGTTTACCTCGTATATGTAGTTTAATTCGTATATGTCACTCTTAAGACTTGTTTAAGAAATAATTTAAATAAACAAAGAAGTGCAGAAGAAAAAAAAATAATGTGCAATTTTTTTTTTTTGTCAATAATTAACTAATTCAATTTAGTACTGTAGATCTAACTAAGTATATATGTACAATGTTTAAATAAGCAAAGTTTCTTCGTTGAGTAAGAAATGAGAAATTTATGAAAAGTTACAATCCCAACACGTAATAGTGCATCTACACAACTTCATCAACTGACATTTTTCAATCGAAAGACAAAGACGTTTTTCGACCGAAAGACCAAGATGTTGTTTTTCGACCAGGAGACCAAGATGATGTTTTCGACTGGAAGACCAAGAGCTAACCATTGAACATAATACACATGCAAAAACCATGTTTCAACTTTTGAGTTTGGCAGTTGCAAGGAAAAAGTAGGAACACGCAACAAGTACATAAATACATATTCCAATGCTGGTAGCATTATCTTTACTTAACTGACAACAATGTGTAGTTTAATTAGTTTATAAACGACCACTAATTTGTTTGTAGTGGTCATTGTTAATCACAAACTATCACATTAATTATATATAATCACATACCTCCTCTTTCACATGTTTCTTTTGTATATAATCCAACCAAGAAAACAACAACTTGTAAATAATTCAACTGTATAGAAACAGATCAAAGATACAAAATCTTCTTTTATACGATTACATATTTTATTTTAAAGAGACAAGAATTAAATTAATTTTTAAAATGAGGAAACGAAGAAGAAGCAAGTGAAGGAAGGGGAATGAAATCCAAACTCTTTTTTTTTTCTGTACAATTATGTTTATGTTTCTCGAAGCTTGATTGAATTATTCAATCCAATAACTAAAAATGAAAACAAGTTAAAAGGAGTTGATATCTAGAGAGCCAATTTTGATAACTTATTTTGGTGGTCAAATTTTGTTACCATTTAATATGCCAACAATTCACGTGGAAAATGGCAAACCCTAGCTCGTGCATTTTATTGGGGAAATTTGTACAAAGACTATCTGGAGTTTTGCTGTATACGCATGTACCTCCTATTTTTTGTTTTTTGTTTTTAAATAAATGATATTATCTACATTAAGGGGTGAGCTAGCTTCAATGGGTTCCAGTAATGTGGTTCAAATTCGCATTTGACGAGAATCAAACCTAAAATCTCCCACTTATAAAGATGATATTGCAAAGTATCACCTACCGTTAAAAAATTTGTTAGTTAATATGTACAACATAAGACTTAAATTTTTCTGCTGATGTGATGCCACGTGGTCAATAAGTACTTAGTAATTAAAATATTATAAATTAATATAATAATAAAAAACCCATTATATATTTCTTATTATCTTGATATGAAACCAACAATTTTTGGTGAAACCACCTCTAAATTTAAAAGAAAACTAATGAAAAGGGTTTGAAAACTTTGAGTTTTAACAAGATAAAGGATAAAGTGAATAGAACCAGGTTTGACTTTTTAGTGTAAAATTATGATTTTTCGTTAAAATGAACAGTACTGCGAGCTTTTCGTTAAAACATCATAAATTTAACTTAGTCGCATTTGATCGACTACTTTTGAATCTCCAAGCCATACTCCACAAATCTGGATCGAGTGAGAGAGTGAAGGAGGGGGGAAGAGGGGGGATGATGTGGTTGAGTTGAAGCGTGTGCGGTGGGAAGCTGGTGAAGGGAGACTAGGAGGGGTAGCTGCAGAAGCTGCTACCACTATTAGGGTTCCTTCTTTTTTTTCAAAATTAAGAAAAATAAACTAATTTTTATTTTCTTAATTAATTAATTCTATAATATATATATATATATATATATATATTTTTTTTTTTTTTTTTTTTTTTTTTGTTCCAGCAGTTCCACATGTGAAAAGACACATTAATTGGAGACCAAGAACACTCACTTGCATGATTACCCATTTTTTAAGCTCCTTGCTGGTTTATTTCGATAGATTTTATATGATCGACCAAATATATAGATTCACATTATCAGACCATGCAAGAACAGGATCCTTATATATCAAACTCAGGAAGGTTGTGTCTTACAAAAATGTCAACGAATCAACATTTATTAGAAAATATGCACATGTAGAACCCCGGAACACTTAACATACAGTAAGCCACATGATAAAACACAAGTTAGTGCCCTCCCGTTGTATTTTTTCTTATAAGTTTATAACTGGTTCTATTTGTACATATTTCCGGTATTTTCTTTGAGCTCATTAGACTTTTGAATTATAATACAAGTGGGAGAGGTGGTTCTTAGGAACTATGAAGGAGCCTAAAACATGAAGTAGTTCCGAGAAAGGGGAACTGTGGTGGCTGGACTGCAGGTAAGAACCATGCCGTCTGCTGTCACCGTGTATGTTTCCACAGTGAAATAAAGAGAAATAAAGAGAATCAGTCTTGCTTCTGCTGTCACCAATTATCTACAGCTGCCTGTTTTCACAGTGAAATAAAGAGAATCAGTCTTGCTAATGAATCTCGTGTGTGTGTGTGTGTGTGTGTGTGTGAGAGAGAGAGAGAGAGAGAGAGAGAGAGAGAGAGAGAGAGAGAGAGAGAGAGAGAGAGAGGGATCCATGCCTGGCTGACAAAAGCAATGAGTACTACCAGCCTTGACAAATGCACCATGTTGTGCCTTGGCACGTTCGTTAGTGCGGAAACGAGATTCAGATTACAACATCACCATAATCACACTCAGTTGAACAGAATAAAATACAAGAAATAAAGACACCGAGAAATTTACGAGGTTCGGCAAAATCCTGCCTACGTCCCCGGAGAGATATTGCTCTTCACTATGAGAATAACAGTACAAGTACACATGAGTTAAATCAACATAACCCAATCCCGAATCCCTTGCATACCCACTCATAGAATTTTCCCAAGAGCCTCACTCTACCCCAAGAGTTCTTTCACCAGAGACCTTTCACTCTAGCTCTCTTGATTTTTCTCTCACCCGTGTTCAACCCTTCCCATGGAAGAGCCGAATGCTCTCCCCTTTTTGGATGCTCTCCCAATCCTCACAATCGGCAAGCTCTCTACATTTTGTGTGTGAAAAATGCCTTCACTTATAGACATGCACCATCAATTATGTCAACCACAAAAAACAAAGTTTACGGGTCATGTTTCCAAATTCCACAAAACATGCTTCCACAAAACATGCTTCCAAAGTCCACAAAGTTGAGAGGAAATGGTTGCCAACTCATAATTATATGAGCCAAACACAACAATCTCCACATTGGCGAATATACTGTGCAAAAATCCTTGCACCCATCACCAATGTCCATTGGCCTTACGTACCAGCATACACACCCTGAATCAACCTCGTTGGTCCTGTTCCTGATTCAGTCACTGCCAATGCATGTGCAGCTGCTGCAAGCTAAAAATCACCATTTAGCTTCAGACAGGATCTCGACACATCCTCGTCTCCTCCAACAGGTTTTCTTCCTCTTCATTGTCTGCAACCTGGAAACTCGTCAGCGCGCCCGTTTCCAGTAACAACCCATCGAGCTAGACAAAATTCCCACACTTCCTCCTACCTCATGATCATCTCATCACCTGTGAATCCCATAGCTCCACCTGTTGCAAAACCCCTGCAACACTTGAGACTAAACATCACCAGGACAAGTGTTGCTTCGAGTACCTAGAGGGCATACTCGAAGTCTTCCGCCACAAAATTGCTACAA